TTTATGACAGCCACCATTTAAATGTTTATATTTCAAAAAACGAATTGAAGTAGAAATATTATTATGTAACTGTAACTTTATTATTGTAAAAACGTCATTAATTTTAACCTTCAATATTATAGTAATGTAGTACTAACTGACTCTCATGTATATTTGACAGCATTAGTTGAGAGATTTTTTTCCTTGAGAAAATTTGGCATGTACTGTACCTGATATATATCCAAAATAATCAATATTGAATCGAATCGAATTGGTAAGCGAATCGAATCGCAAGCCTGTGAATGAGAATCAAATCGAATCGTGAAATTTGTGTCAAAACCCAGCCCTAATGCTTGCATAGAGCGCATTTTAGGTATATTTATGCTTATGCTATCACATTGTTAGCTTAGCAACATGTTAACGCTAAACTCCACTTGTGCACTTCATGTTAGAAGTTCTATTTTTATTTTGCTACCTACATAGAGCGTTCCAGATCAATCCCTAATGAGGTTCTGTTTCAGTTAGCATGCTACCGTAGAAGGTAACATCAAAGAAGACTTTAGGCAGCGATGCAGTTCACTGGGTTTTGGAACAGATCCAGTGAATTTCTGTATATTAGAGGTCATAGAGAAAATGAGAGGGAGGAAAAGAAAGAGAGGCACAGGGAGGATGTGTTTGACACACACTTCACCACTAACACACTAGTAGGGTTGCCAACCATCCCGTATTTTGGGCCTAACTGATTTGTCCCGTACGTTACTTCCCTTGTCCCGTTTTTTGACTGCTAACAGTAGCAGTGCTGATCACTTGATAATGATCACCGATACCTGTCATCATCCAATCACAACCCCCCTGACGCAGTATACGTTAAGTAAATCAGAAATCGTGAACATAACTGTTCGAGGAAGGCTACACAATCCTCTGCCGGCTCGTCGCTCCCGCCTCACAGCAAGCGGCATTCGCGCTAATGCCAATTCCGTCCGTGTCTTCAATTCAGTAAATCAGTTTTGGTGAATACAAATTATGAATATAGATTATTTTTCATGAGTCCAACATCCCGCCGCGCAAGAGACGTGATCAGTAAGGGAAGTCGTCTTTCACTATTGTAATGTTGTTAAATAGAGAAAAACATTTTATATTTAAGTAACTAATAGCCTAATTTTTAACCTTGGACCTTATTCTTGAAACACAAAATGACCAATAAAAAG